ACGCGTGGGTTGGGACAAATTCATTTAAAATTCAGGGATTTGTTTTTTGAAAAAACGCTCAGACACGTCGATTTTTATTTTTAGATGCGGTTTTTTAATAGTAAACTCACTTAAACAGGATTACCCAAAAATAAGTTACGACCATCACCTTCATTTTTTTTAATGGAAACCCCTATTTTTTATTTTATTTTTGAATTTTGCATCAAATTCTAAGTATGTTTTATGTACCATGTCCTATACCTAAACTCAACAGTTATCGAGAATTACGAGTGAACATAATAAAATACCGGTTTATTGAGGATTTTTTTGTATCGAGCAAAACATTTAATTTTAAGTTTATTTTAATTGGTTTTTTAATTCTGGTACTTTTTATTGTCGACTGTATGATAATTTTACTTCAAATAAGTAATTTTCAGTTGCAGTTAAAAGGTTTGAAATAATGGCGCGTTTAACTGAGAAGCAGAGAAAAAAAATTTTGATGATGGTAGGATATGGCGACAGGACTCAAACACAAGGTAAAGTTTGCGAAATGTTTTATAACAAGGAACTGGAAAGGCCCATTACACGATCGGTAGTTAGTAAGATAAAAAATCCAATTGTTTGTTTTCTGGAACTGGAAGATGGTTGGTTTTATAATTGTATCTTCTAAACTTTTTTTTTTATCTTACTAACTACTGATCGTGTAATGGGCCTTTCCGGTTACTTGTTATTAAACATTTAAAACTTTACCTTGTGTTTGAGTCCTGTCGCCATATCCTACCATCATCAAAATTTCTTTTCTCTGCTTCTCAGTTAAACGCGCCATTATTTCAAACCTTTTAACTGCAACTGAAAATTACTTATTTGAAGTAAAATTATCATACAGTCGACCAGTAGCGTGCAAAGGTGATCGGGGCCCCCCCCCGCAAATTTTGAGCTGGGGCCCCTTTATCACTTATACCACCCAATGTGGTTCTCTACGGGGCCCCCCTAAGGTCGGGGGCCCCCCCGCATCGCGGGCCCTGCGGGGCCCGTCCTGCACGCCACTGCAGTCGACAATAAAAAGTACCAGAATTAAAAAAACAATTAAAATAAACTTAAAATTAAATGTTTTGCTCGATACAAAAAAATCCTCAAAAAACCGGTATTTTATTATGTTCACTCGTAATTCTCGATAACTGTTGAGTTTAGGTATAGGACATGGTACATAAAACATACTTAGAATTTGATGCAAAATTCAAAAATAAAATAAAAAATAGGGGTTTCCATTTAAAAAAATGAAGGTGATGGTCGTAACTTATTTTTGGGTAATCCTGTATAAGTGAGTTTACTATTAAAAAACCGCATCTAAAAATAAAAATCGACGTGTCTGAGCGTTTTTTCAAAAAACAAATCCCTGAATTTTAAATGAATTTGTTCCAACCCACGCGTCCTCATTGTATAAATAAAAGTTATCGGCTTATCTCATCTTCTCTTAAAATCCTGCAATGGATTATTATCAATTATTGGCAAATAACGAAGTAAGTTAATACAGAATCCGCGACTGCAAAAGTTGAATTAGTTTTAAAATCTTTTGGGGGTTTTGTTCTACAAAAATTTTGACCAGTCCAAACCTCGTTAAGGTAATTTTTGCATTGTTGCACTTTTTTGTATGAAGATTGTACTATGTTCAGATGCGGTTTCCCCATAGTAGCATATGATCACCCCCATACAGAATTCAAAAGTAAAAATAAAATGTTTAATTTATAATTTGTATTATTTCTCGTAAAATTTTCGAATCTTCTTAATAATTATTATTGCAACGTTTTCAGGCGCCTTAATCATTATCTCGCCTCGCGCGCTCAGGAATGAAAAGAACGAGCTTTGATGATGTAGAACGTGCGATAAAGTAGGCGAAGCCTATGCAGTTTCTTTGTATATTCTTAGTCTGCTGTTTGTAGGGGAATCGCAAATTTTAATATGCAAAGGGCGCACATATTTGGTGTGCTCCAAAACCAGTTTGCCACAGATTGCCTTGTTTTAATTTCGTAATTCATAGTGCGTTTCTGTAATTAGAGATTTTATAAAGGCTTTAATTATTATTTGTCTGTTGCATTAATATTTTAACAATTATTATGAATACTTTGACGGTGGAGTATTGAAAAATAATGCTGTTTTTGACAAGTTTGCTGCAAATAAGGAAGGGAGAATGGACTTAACGTTTAAACACTTCACACAATGATAAAATATAAATTAGCATTTTGTTATTTCTTAAAAATATATACAAGGCATTCCACGCCAAATCGGATGGTTTCAAAAATTTTTTTTGATTCCTCCAATTTTTTTATATTTTTTTAGTACTCCTTGAACGAGTTTCCTCAGTAAATTTTGAGATTTTTTTGATCACGGGTTCAAACGATATCAAATTTTCGCTCATAACTTCTTAAAAAATGGTCCAAATCAAAATGTTCATTCTATATAAATTTTTTGTTTTTAACTGTATTTTTTGAAGAAAATATATTAAAAATATTTGAAGCGTTTTAAGTCAATATGTTTGAGTTTTAAAGTTTAAATCGTGTTTTTAAAAATGCGTGTCTTCTTCGATTTTCGCGAAAAATTTTTATTTTCAACTTCTATCCATTCAACAACTATTCAGCCTGGTCCGGTAGTGGGCCTTCCATAATTACTTTTTTCAAAAATTTTTAGAGAATTTTTTTTTTTAATTTTGAAAAATCGTAAAAAAATAGTAATTATGGAAGGCCCACTACCGGACCAGGCTGAATAGTTGTTGAATAGATAGAAGTTGAAAATTAAAAATTTTCGCGAAAATCGAAGAAGACCCATTTTTTAAAAAACGATTTAAACTTCCAAACTCAAAAACCTTGACTTAAAACACTTCAAATATTTTCAATATAGTTTTTTTCGAAAAGTATATTTAAAAACGAAAATTTTATATGGAATGAACATTTTGATTTGGACCATTTTTTAAGAAGTTATGAGCAAAAAACAAAAAAATTTTTTTTTTTGAAAATTTGATATCTTTTGAACCCGTGATCAAAAAAATTTCAAAATTTACTGAGAAAGCTCTTTCAAGAAGTACTAAAAATTATAAAAAAATTGGAGGAATAATTTTTTTTTTTTTAAACCATCCGATTTTGCATGGAATGCCCCATACATATTTCAAAGTTTTATTTGACATTTTTTATTGGTTTGAAAGCTTAAATTAATAGTGGTCGTGCAAGCGACAAAACAATTCCCTTATGCTTTTTAAAGTCTATTAACCTCCTTTAAATATAATCTATGTGATATAGTGACTATGTTATCATTGATCTACATACCCCAACCCTACTTTTTTTTGGTAAAAATAATATTTATATTTTTAATGAAAAACATAGAGAATGGTATGTATAGTAATTTATGCCAAAATAAAAATGGTATTAAAATCTCCCCGTTTTATCTTCGTTCTAAGGATAAAATCTTATGTGATCTTTAAATAACCATATTAAAATATATACTTACTAACGATTTTTTTACCAGTTACATGAATCTTTAAATTAAGGTTTTATTCTGTGAATTTCAATATTGATTGTACTTCTTTCCTAAACAGAATACAAATATAGTAGTTCAAACTGTTCGAGACTTGGAAGTGGAGTTGATATACGGATTTATAGTTATATGAATTTAAGCTTCCTGAGCAGCAAATTTATCTTTCAAATGAAAATATTACTTTCCACATTGACTTAGTCTCTATGTTTGATTACAGAACGTTTTTTTAGATTTTTGTATATTTTTAAGATTATTAATGGTTATGTTTTTTTTTCAATTTGATAAAATAAACTTTTGTGTTTTCAATTTACATACTAATCGTTTTGGTCCTAGTTATTATATGGTGCAATTATTTCTTTAAATATTGGAAAACTGGTCTAATATTTAACATAAAAATACATGAAGAAATAAAAGATGTAAAGAAATTTGGTTACCTAAGAAGTATAATTAGTTTAAAAGGTGAAACGGAAAAGAATAGAAACAATTTTTTTTAGCACATATCTGTATTAAAATGCCAAATAAAAAATGGTCATCATTAATTCACTCTACAAAACTTGAATAAAAATTATTAGATCAAATTTAAATTGTAATTTAATGTATGGCGCAGAAACCTGGAAACCTGGAAAAACTATACTTACATATACATATACATTAGGGTGTCCCTTATTTTTATTTTTTTTACGCATACCCTCTAATTATATTTATTACGTGTTTATATACTCCCAGTAAAAATTTCAGCTCATTCTATAAACGGGAACCCGTGCCGACTTGCATCTGAACCATCCGTTAGCCAACGTTAGGCGCGCGGTATTTTGTAACACGGTTGGTCGCGAAGTCATTTTGTGTTTGTTATTATGTGACCCTTATATTATAAATTATTGACAAATGTTAAAATATAGTTTTAATTATGTGTATACTTTGATAAACATGTATATTTTCACAGGGAGTGGCTAGTTACCCGGAGGGGTCTGTTGAATAGGCCGTAAACTCTGAAATTGATAAACTTAATGGGTTTTACTCTTACTAACTAAAAGAGTCTATTGTTAGAGATGACTACCGAAAACTTATTGAACTGTCTGAAATATTTTTGGGAGGACATCAAGAAAAGAAATTATTATAAAAAGCTGAAATTTCATATATATAAGAAATTTCATATATATAAGAAAAACTGTTGGTCGTGTGCTTTTAAATAAAATTAGAATAAAAGCATAGCATTTAATTGTTATTTTGTTTAAATGAATACAATCCCTAAAAACATTTAATGATGTGTGTAAAAATCAGGTTAAAAAAATGTTATTTAATAAAAAAACCAAATATCTTTTTTAAATTTAAGTAACTTACAACCTTTATTTTTTTTTAGTTGAACATATATTTGTATCAAATTGGTACCTAATTCACTAAATTTTATAATGAAATTGTGCGAAATATATAGATTCCCAAAACCGCTTTTAATTATTTTTATATGCATATATATTTAAAACAAAAAATATACTTACATTATACATGATGTTCCAAGAATAGCACAAGCTGATAGGCCATAGAGGTTTGTAGTGATTTCCAAAAGTATACATGTATATCAGCCAAGGTGAAGGTACCAACAGAGTAAACATATCACATAGAGCCATCGCCATTAGGACAACATTAGTAGGGGTTCTCATGTGTCTTTTGCTCAAAACAACCACAATCAAACTATTTACAGTCACTGTAACCACGAGCAGAAACGGCATCGCGTACCCGAACAAAGGAATCGCATACTTGATCGGAACCTCGTTGGTGATGTTCAGGACCTCAGGGTTTTGATTGATCCGGTCAGGCGGAAGTTCGGTGAAGTTCATGGCGATTTCAGTGTAACTTGTCGATAAGTTGTAGAACGTCGAGGAATTAGGTACATCCGAGTAGTAATCCTCAATCCCCATCGTCTTGTCTCTAAGATTTATTATTGTTTGATCCCATTGTTTCGAACTAATCATTCGATTTAACACTTGGTAGAGTTGTTAACAACATAATTTCAGACAGACAATTTTGCTATTTAAATATTTGACGAAAGCTAATTAAAACTTTATAAAAAAGATGCGTAGTCCAATCCAGTCCTTTCTTAGGAATACTCTGAAAAAAAAACTAGAATTAAAGAAAATTCTAAATAACATGATAAAAAGCTTGTAGGTATTTAAAAATACTCGAAAAGTCTTTCATTAGTAGAAGTAGTTTTGCGTATTTATATTTAAAGCATGCGGACGGAACAAATCAATGTAATAATTACAATTATTGTATCATATATTATTTTGGTACCTATCAAAATAACTAAAAAAATTTTTTTATTAAGCTATACATTAAATAAAGAAACGCAATACATATTTTATAAAAGTAGAGATAATTTTAATAATGGACAGTTGTGGATGGGACAAGAGAAATATTTATTTTCTTCGTTTCACAACTGTCCATTATTTAAATTATCTTTACTTTTATAAAATAATGCTTGAGTTTCTTCTGTATTTTTTTGATATCTTATATTAAGATATAAAGGAAAATAAGTAAACTTCACACCAGAATCGTTTTATTAAATGGTTGTCATTTAACAATAGTTATTTATATCATAGGGTTGATAAGTGATACTTTTTGTGCTGAGTTTGAATGCCGAAGCGTAGAGGAGGCCTACAATTTAGCGAAGCACAAAAAGACATTTTTATTTCCAAGGCATAATTTTATTTGTTAAAGTTAGTGAGGTTAGACTAACCTGACAAAAGTCGTTTTTATATTGGTCCAAATGGAATTTTTACAGAATAGATGGTAAAAAACATGTTTTAATTATTTTAAAGAATTAATAATTTTATTTCTTAAATAAAACTTACAATTATAATAATTATAAAAAGTAAACAGACATACCCATAGTTGGATTCGAACCCCATATAGTATTTTTTGATACATCTTTTGAAAAGACTATAAACTGTCTTTAAAATTGCGCTTTGTTTTTTATAAATTTGTGCTGCGGGTTGCTGGGAAATTAAATTAAATTTTATTGATTAGTACTAAGCATTATCTTGTTAACTGTTGAACATGTCCGCCGTTCACCGCAATACAATAGTACAGCCACTGTTCAAAGTGTTCCTGGACATTGGGTGTAATTTGTTGGCATTTATTAGTGATGCTGTTCCGTAAATCCTCCAAGGATTCCAAGGCTGGGTGGCATACATTTTGGATTTGAGATGTCCCCACAAAAAGAAATCAAGGGGAGATAAATCCAGTGATCTCGCGGGCCATTCGATAGCACCACTTCTCCCAATCCATCTACCAGGAAACGTTTCATCCAGAAACTGCCGTATCAGCGCTTAATAATATAATAAATGGGGTGTTTCTACTCAAAGTGGTCAGAAAAATAAAGGTTGGTGATCTTATGAGAAATAATTATCGAGTCTGATACTATTTTCAAATAAATATTTTTTATTGTAGCTTTTATTTTCGTCGGTTGATGTATTTTATGTTTAATATAAATATTTTATGTTTAACATAAATATTGATGGTAAATATTAAATTAAAATCACAAATTTTTTTTTTTTATCCGCCAATAATTAACTTAGATAAAAAGGTTTACTAAAAACAAATTTCGATAATTTAAAAACAAAAGCTCAATTAAAAAATATTTATTTGAAAAAAGTGTTAGTCTTGATGAGATCTCTATTAGGTAACCTAATTTAGGTTGTCAATCTTTAGTATATTTATAACATTAAAGTATTCCTTTTTTCACATACAAAGCCGTAAACTTTGGCAAAATAGACCCAAGGTCAACCCTATATTTGCTAAGCTGCAGCGTAATTAAATTAATTAAATTAAATTAATTATTAATAAGATACTAAAATAAAACAGAAAAAAGTTGCATATGATAAATTATTATTATAACTTTTTTATTTGTTACTCGATTTTAATGAACAAAGGCTTAAAAGATAGACAATACAATACAAAATATTTTCAATGCCACTTGACAGATGCCTACTATAACATTTTTTCTATGTAAAAACTCGTAAAAACTTATTAGGGTCGTTTAAAAAAAAATAAGTACGCCACTGAATGCGGCATGCTTCAAAATGGGTACAAACCACAGACCACCAAAACAAATGGACGGATTTGTTTACGTTTAAAAAGCGAGTAAAGCATAGTTTCACATTCTAAACACCGTCGAAAGAAACACGGCTTCCAACGTTGTCAGAAGTATAGATTACACGCCTTTTTGGACGTTCATCATAACATAATGAACATTAAAAATTACCAGCAATTCGTTTGAATAATAAAAAAATTGTAAAAAGGATTTGTTCATCATTTTCTTTACATATTTTTCTCTATTTAAAGAAAGTAAATCATTTAATAATTATTAAAATTAAATATTAACAACGTTGTTAAATTCGTCATATTTGACAGCATAGAAAAAGGTTGATAGCTTGTTGTTTTGTGTTTTTGTTTGTGTATTTCTATCGTGTTTAAGTTAATTATGGAGTTTAAATACATTATTTTTTACTAAAAATAACAATACATGGAAATATCGTTTGTAAACTTACTTGTACCTACCTACTTATTATTTTTGGAGTACGCAATACGTCACTGGAAGAAAACATAAAATTCTATAGTCAATTTAACGCTTAGACTGTGACCGTTTGTTGACGTCACTGGAAAAAAACATAAAATTCTATCTCCAATTTGACGCTTAGACTGTGACCGTTAGTTGACCGCAAACAAAGCATTGTTATTGAATGGCAATGCGCCGTCCATTTGTTTTGGTGGTCTGTGGTACAAACCAAATTTCATTAAAAACGAACAATTTAGTTAGTTTTTTTTTAATATTTAAAACGAAAAATAAAACACATTTAGGAGGGTTTTTTGGAAAAAACGACCCTAACAATTTTTTTTTGAATTTTGACATGGAACATATGAAAATTAATTAAAATAGAATTAATGAAAATGTGAAAAATAGTGTTAAAATATTTGAAAATGTTATTTTTTGATTTAATTATAATTAAATAATAATAATAAACTATAGTTTATTCGTGTAATTATCTAAACAAATTACACTCATGCATAAAAATAATCAGATAATTTTGCATTCAAGCATATTGCCTTTTAAAAATGCATTCGGTCATTTTCATATTATGAGGAAAGAGCCCTCCACCTTCAGTGTCGGGCTCTTTCCAAAATATGAAAATGAACATTTTTTAGGCAATATGTTTTCAAGCAAAATTATCGATAATTTTTAAGCACTTGTGTATTTACCCCCGATAACAACACTCAGGGAAGTTTTCAATCACTATGACAATATGACACCAAGACTGTCAATTTAATAAAATAAATTTCAATATGTCACGTTTTGGCAATTTGAATTTTAAAGGTATAAACGCGCTTATTAAAGAAAACATTTCCAAAAATACTACAAGTCATAAATATACGTGGGGGATATTTATGGAGTTTTGCTTTGAAAGCAAATATTATTTAAACGAGAATAGAAGCGAAGAAGAACTGGCATTAATATTTAAAGATTGGGCGGTCAATATGAGGAAGAAAGATGGGACCGAGTTTAAAGAACCTTTGTTAAGACCATGTGGAAAGTTACGTGTAAACTTTTACAACAGAAATACTATAATGAATATAAGATAATGATTGACCTGTTTAACAGCATAGTATTTACATAAACCTGCCCGAGATGCCCGCGATACAACCAGAAAGAAACTGCAAGCATATTCATGTAAACGTAAGACCAGTTCAGTTTTATTAAGTTTGTCTGAAATAAACCAAATAATATGTACTTTTAATAAATAAATAATCATTGTGTTGCGAGTTATTTGATTTTTTTATGAAAAAATTTTCTGACCGAATATCCCTCTGACATTGACAAATGCCTCATAATTTTATGTCAAATTGCTTAACCACGTTTGTTGGTAACAGCCCGACGCCGAAGGCAACGTGCTTTCGATTGTCATAAAATTATCTCGTGCATTATCAATATCCTAGGGATATTTTAGCTGAAAATAATTTGTTAATTTTTAAAAATATGTGATTTTATTGTATTATTGAAAAAGTAAAAATTATTGAAAAGAGATAAGTGAAAATTATTGACAAGAGACCCCGATAATTTAATTTTTTTATTACATTTAAAGAATACTCGTATGGTACTAGTTTTACTAAAAATTAGTATCATTACTTTTTTTACATAATCTTTTTAATTCTGTGAAATTTTACAAAATTTTATACGATTTTATAACAATGTTACAATGACAAATTTTCTTTCAGCTGTAGCTAATGACGTAGAAATTCTTTTAACAATTTTTTTTACGAAAAAATAAAATTTGTAGTTACGCATGTGCACTTAAGTATGTCGCACTTCACAGATTTCGTGTCGAAAAGTTCAAGTTTGAAGTAGGTCAATCACCCATCGTATGTGGAACTTTTATGTAATAGTATAGGTATTATGACTCAAGTTTTATAAACGCCATTTCTGTCAAATGTCAACGGAATTAACCTCACTTTTCTCTAATATATAATAAAGCTAATTTTAGCCCGTGACTAAAATGACCAAAAGCCACTACTTATTTACAACTTCAGCCCGTGACTAAAGAGCCCTAAAGTCACAGCTCGTCAGTGTAGAAGTGGATAAATACATTTAACTTATTTGAAAAGGATAATTGGTGTAGCGGAAATGTCTGCATCTCATACTCAAGACAACGTATCCGTAACTACGAATGTTATTTTGTCGTAAAAATAATGGTTAAAAGAATTTCTACGTTATTAGCTGTACTAAAGAAAAACTTTTAATTGTATAATATTTAATAAAATCGTATAAAATTTTGTAGAATTTCACAGAAATAAAAAGATTACGTAAAAAAGTAATCGTACTAAAATTGAGTAAAACTAGATTCATTTCGCTAATATGAATTCTTAAAAATTTACTCTTAAAGGCCTTGTATTTTGTACAAATATGGCGTTGATTATTATCAAGATCTACACTTTAAAACGAGTAGCAAACAAATGGGTCACACTGTATAAATTTTATATAATTGCTTTAGGATTTATAGCAAAAAAAACAATATTTGATTTTGTCAAATTTTTATATTTTATTTAACAAAAAA